CACTCTAATTCAGTTACAAACTCACACAGTTTTGAAAATCCTCTGGTTTCCTTAAAAAAGTTTACTGTTGGTAGAGGAGACAGACCTCTACCAACCTGCAAGACAGAATATAGCAAGCTGTTTGCTTGTATTTATACCTGGGACATCTGGAGAAATGAAGGAAACTTTAAAGGAGACGGTCATACTGGATTTAACTAGACACTAACCAGGCTTTAGTGTCTGAAGAACATTTTTTACAGAAACAAAAAGGTAGAAGTTATTCTAGACAGAGGGAACTTTGCCAGAAAATGTAACATAAATGAAAAGCGTATGCATGTGCCATTCATCTATTGATTCAATTATTCATTTATTAATATTCAACAAATATCTACTGAATGGATAATATTTAAGTAATAATTTTTGTAATGGTATTACATTTTGTAAAGAAATTATTCCTTCAACCTCAATGTCAATAGGTTTTGGACACAATCCTGTCAGCGCAAATGCATATATATGCTTAGTAAGTATCATGACAAATTTGTTAAGATTTGGCACCAGCTAATCGACGTCTTTTGGGATGCATGAATGAGAGCTCCTCTCAAATACCAAGGGACACTACAATAATTAGAAAATTAAAATTTCAGATAAAACTAAAACAAATACACTTGTCTAGAAATTTTACATAACAGTGATAAGATGTAGTATAAACCTAACATGTCTTAGCATGACCTTTTTTTAATAAAGACATTTTATTACCAGCTTACAAATGTTCAAAAGTTTGGAATGATAACTTTTTGTTTATAAATTATAAGCTCATGAATAGTTCTAAAAAAATATAATCTTGAACTTTGTTCATAAAATCAAACTTTTTTTCTTTTTACATGTACTAGATGCATATTTAAGAATAAGAAAGGAAGTCATTTTGAGATCATCTTGCTTAAGACAAGTAGCTTACCTCTTGCTCTGCTTCAAAACTGATAGAATTTTAACAGACTACTGTTTCAAATTCTATCCCCATTATGGGGACAGTTGTTTATGTTCCGATGCTATGTTTTTAAAATTCAAGAAATAAATAACTGAAAAAAATGAATTTATGAAACTTATTAAAAGATTATTGATTGTATCTTAGAAATCACAGGAATTAAGTAAAAAGAGTGTAGACTTTACTCTCAGGTAGATGTACTCTCACCTGATAGTGAAGGGATTTGATATACTTCAAATTCTGCCTTCCCACAAAGCAGTTTTGTGATTTTCATAAATTTCATCTTTCTCGGATTGTTAAAATGTGATAATACTTCAGTTTCAAGGTAGATGTTAAGATAACAATGAAAAATAGCTTTCTTTTTCAAAGTTTCTTGCGTAGCGCCAAGTGTACATTAAATTCTCATAAATATTGGCCCATTTTCTCTCTTTTCTTTTTTCACAATAGGTCCTGTTTCAGGTAAATTTCAACTGTTGATAGTATTTGTTTGACATAATTACTCATGGTGACTTTTTCGACATATTTCAAAATCTAACAGCAAACTACAGACAGAATATAATTAATGAGTATCTGATTCGTTTCATTTCACTGTCATTTCTCAAAAAGAATGCAATGTGCTAGATAAAGCTATCAAGGCACAGTTTTAAATTAATGTTTTAATTAACATCTCTAATTTTATATGTAACACTGTGTCCATGTGTCATCTAGTGTCTCTCAAGAAGTCATTATGACACTGCTGTATTTCTAAAAAGACAGACAAAACATACATTAATATTAATAGGATATTACATACAGTTTAGTTACAATAGTAGATCAAGTTCTGAAACTATTTCTTTCTTATCCTATTAAAATTAAACAACTTTCAGGAGGGTCATTTAGATTTTTTAAACATTTAGATACATCACTTAATTTGCTAAATAGTTCATGAAACTACATGGTTTTGAATTAATACATTTTCAATGCGCTTGCCTTTAATTTTCAGTTTCCCAAATAAACAGTGTCTTTCCCTAAATGTATTTTTTGCATCATAAAGTTATTTCGGTAATACTAATGTTCTCAAAAATTAGGTCTATATTTGTGCTGATTAAAAAGACACAGTCATATTATATTCCCGATCAAAATATTCTCAAATCTCTTAAAATATTGAGGTGTCAATGCCTCTGGAAGGGTTAGAAATAGAAAACATGAGGAGTAAGATAGTTCTAAATCAACTATTCATTATAACTAGATAGAAACAAATTCCCAATTAAATTTGGGTTGAATCGAACCAGTTTTAATATTTTTTTGGGGGGGGAGTATAGGGTATAATTAGGTGAAAAGGCAAAGTTTTTATTTTGAGCTGTCTCCTCTCAAACTCATTTTTAATGAGAACCAAATAATCATGGTGGGGTTTCCATAGGCATTAAAGAGGTCAATAACACTGGTTTCAAATAAGTCCAGACAATCCAATTTCTAAAGTCAAAGTGCACATTAGAATTTGATTTCATAAACTATATGGCAATGATGGTTTTGGAAAAATGAAAATTTAATAGTTTATTGTATTTTCCCTTTACCTGACATTATTTTCAAAAATACAACCATCATATTTTCATAAAATAGTCAGTTCCTAATTTTATAGTTCTAGCTACTGCTTAGTATTTCTCATAAATCTATCTTTACTTATATATCTATATTAACTTTAAGCACTGATAGTTACAATATTTACTATTGAACCAATGTGTGCATATTTTTATTTTTCTTCCAATACATGCATAGATCAGAAAAGAGAAATTATTTCAGTTTTCAGCTGCTAAATATAATGCTGATTATCTGAACTGCCATAAATAATCCTGGCAATTAAACATACAGGTATAAAAATATAACAGACTATTTCAAAAAATATACATTTAAAAGTATTTTTAATTCAGTGGGGTTAAAATCAGTGCATCTTAAAGGGGGTTATTATATTTCAATGCAAACGTAATTATGTTTTTCACAGGGTACACTGATAGCATTTGACTAGATGATCAGATATGTTTATTACCTTGAAATCATAAAAGAAAAATTAAAAATAATGATTGTCATCATTTCTATCTTTCATCTACAGTTAGGAAACAGCAATTTTTCTAAGCTGAGTTATTACAGTGAAGTTTTTAATAACATCTAGTTCACGAAAGTATTGATAGACACAGCCATCCAAATATTGAAAAATGGCCAATCTAACTTCCAGATTCCTTACCAATTAAAATGATGTAATAGTTTATAAACATAAGTTGTTATTTTTTAGTATTTATTTATTTGGTTTCCTAAATGAGGATGTTGAAACAGGTAACTTTTTAGTCCTATAGATGGCTGTAGTTCTCCATGGAGAGTAAGTTAGAAAGTTAGTTTGAAATGTGTGTATAGAATAAGACATTAAAATTTCCTCTAATGAGAAAGAATAAAATGATTGCTTCTGTTACTTCTTAATACAAAGTATGAATTGATTAAGGTTATTTTATATGAAAAGTTATTTGGCCTCTTACTGGTTGAATAACTAAAATAGCTATAAAATTCATATAGAACTTCAACTCTGTCATGGCCTTATTTATGCATTTTTATCTTGACCTTTTGGAAATAAATGCAACAGAAAAATAAATTATATAACAATTACAAGATTTTAAAGATTATAAGTAATGAAAATCTAGTCCAACTCATATATCTTTCAGAATGACCAGTAAGCAAGTAAATTGAAATTGATCTTATTGCTTTTTTTTCCCTTAAACATTTAAGGAGGATATTTGATGGACAATAGTGTCCAGGTGAATAAAAGTAGGCGTTATAAATGTAATTTTAAATAGCAAACCCAACACAATGATGAAGATTTCAACATTTTAACATCTCCGCCCACTCTTACTCTCAATGTCTAATTTAGAGTTTTACCAAAAAAAACCCCAAAACCAAAAATACCCTCCAGTAAACCTTTTTGTTAAAGAATTGGTAATATTCTTGGTGTTGTGATTATGTACTATGAAAGGAAAGGCAGAAATTATATGAGCCCTGAGAGGCAGTATTTTATTAAAACTGAAAAAGTTTTACAAGTCTGTCTTTTTTTTTTTTTTTTTTTTTTTAATTAAACAACTAAAGCTTCCTTCTGTCTCCTCCTACTCCTTTGGCTTGGAGCTTACTCCTTAAGCAACTTGCTGCATTTTATAGCTATGGAATTTCACTGGGAAGGACCTCCCTAAGAAGCCATGTGAACAGGGATACACCATAGTGGATACACCATAGTGAATGCAGGCAGACAAGATAAGAGAACCCTTTCCTCAGCTCTCCTAAACCCTCGATGCCTTTCCAGTATACTCTTGTCTCCAGTCACAAAAGGCAGCTGAGTTCACAGCTGGAACAACAAGTTGTGCAGTGAATCCCAGTGATTTCACCAAGTAGCAAACCGGGTCATGGGCTTCATTGGCTTCATTGGAATCTCGGTTGCCAGGCGAACTAGGAATCACTAGCCTGGGTCGGGCAACACGGATAAAAGTGTTTCTGTTTCTTGACAGAGAATGAAAATGACGCAGAATGTAATCGATCGGTAGAATATTGATCACTTTACTTCCTTCGTGCCCCCACTTTAAGTGCCGGAGAGCTAAGGCCTCACTTATATGCACCCAGGTGCCCCCGAGATCTCCATTTTCCCCAAATGCATAAAAGGCTAACAGCGGCCACATTCCCCAGCACCACGGCGTGGCTACAGCGCCTTTGTTTACCATATAAGTCACACCAGGGGTTCACTCCTCGCCCTCTCCCCTGCTTTAAAGCCGAGTGCAGTGGAAGACGGAGAAGCACCCCCAAACTCCTGCTCAGCCCGAGTCAAGCACCAAAAGCTTCACAGATTTTTTTTCCTGAGCCTTGAAGAGAAACCATACAGCCAGAACGTTTTGAACTCGTAACCCCCCAGGGATGTCCGCCTCCCAGAAGAGAGCCGGCTTCCCAGGCAGCTTAGAAAACTTAACCGAGATCCCAGAAAGAAGGCGAGGTGTAGCTCCGGGCGAACGGAGCTCCGAGGCGACATCCTCTTTACCTGCAAAGTTGCAATCTTCGGGCTGAAGTGATGGGATCCGGGGACGGACGGCGCGGGTGCCGTGCGGGGTGAGAGCACGCCCGGCAAATTCCGATGGAATTCCCTTAGTCGCTGCCGAGTTTTGGAGCATTCCAAGGAAAAGGAACGAAGCTGGAGCCCACGCAGCTGGCACCGAACTGGGCGGAGTGAGGATGCTCTGAAAGCGAAGCCATGGGAGGCGGGGGAGGGGCGGCCCGGGAAGGGGAGGTAAGCGCCAGGGGAGGAGAACCTCTCCCACCCCCGCCCTCACCGATCCCTCCGGATAAAGTTAAGAGTTCCCACGGCTGATAGCGGATGAGCCCAGAGAAAGGCACCCCGCCTTCCGTCCCTGGCGGCTGCCCGGCTCGGGGTCCGCACAGACCGCGCTGGAAAGGGATAGTCCGGGAAGATGCGCGTCCCACGCACCACACTGCTTGGAGGTGGAGGAGACCCGCGCGCTGGCAGGAGCTGATGCTCCGTCCCCAACTCGTCCCCCTCGAATAACCTCCACCCACCGGGGCCAACTGCTTGAGGTCAGCCAGTGGGCAGGGGAGCTCACTACCAGCCAGCCGTCATCCAGCCAGGTCGGTGGCGAGAATCTACCCTGTGGCCCTGGATGCAAGCCAGACACACCTCCAGTCTCAGGGCAGTCTCTGCAGGCGTGTTGGACTTCAGTGCGCTCTGACACCTAGCTTTTGAATGCCCTGCTCCTAGCCCGGTCAACAAGCACCCATGCGGCCCGCCGCCCAACTGCAAGAAAGTAGCCCCCTGCAACTCTCAAAGCTTCTCTCACTCCCGCTTCTCTGGGCGCCTGGCACCCCCTCTCCTGTCCTCAAGGTGTCAGACTTCCCTTGCAAGAGCTGGAGGATGAGGCTTGCCACTAGTGTCAACAATCGAAACAGTCGCAATGAATAAATGATGAGCCACAGCGTTCCAACCACCCCCCACCCAGTTTGGTGTTTCCAAAAGACACAGGAAATCAGCAAGTTTCCACCAAATATACCAAAACCCTAAGACGCGAGCCAGCCTAAGGGTGCAAGGTTCTGCGGCCGCAGGTAGTGTGCGTGTGTGCGAGTGTGTGTGTGTGTGTGTGTTACTGGTATCAGCTTACTGAGAGTGAGATTTCAAGATAAAGGTTATCTCTTGTGCAATCTCTTTAGTGTTCACATATGAAAATAAGATTAAAGTACAGAGAGGAATACACACACAGAAACCACACATACACGCTATTGGCAAAGTTGGCAGTAACACTTGCTGTAACTGCAACACGGTGATTCCCAGCTTGTCACTCAGAAAGGCTTCATTGGTTGTGACCCAATGACCCAGAGAAAGACAGAGTTCATGTGTAAGATAGAGAGTGGAGCCCCTGAGGAATCCTAGCTGGCAACTATACCCTCCTGGAGACTCTGTTTCTACCGGATTTCCGTTGTTTTCTGAAAGCCCTGAGATTAGCTGCTGGTCTCTGATTGTATTCCAGCAGATGCCTGATTCAGCTTCCAATTTACGCAAAAGCTTAGGAGCCACCGTTTTCTCCTGTCGCAACCACGTTGTTACACCTGGGAAGCTGTGATGTGCCGACTGCAAGGAGGACCAGTTTCTTCCCGTGGAATATTCCCAAGGAATATAAACCAACAAACTGGCATCCATATTCAGACTCTAAAGCACAAAATTAAAGAATTTCCCTTTTTATCTTCCCCTACCCACTTCAGAGTTCACATGAGTTGAGGTTTTTGTAAGTAGTTTTCACATGAGTAAAGAGGATATTACCAGAGATCACTCTGGGGTAACTGTGCATGCTGCTTTTTTTTTTTTTTTTAAGTCACTTTTCTTATTTGTTAATTTATCTTTCTCCCTGCCTAACTGCTCGTCTCTGGGTTTATTCCCAGCTCAGCTAGACCCCTATTCTAAATTTCTGAGAGCACTACCTCTAGTCCTTCCCAAAATACTAAGGTACATTGAGATAAGCCTGGTTTCTACCATGCGTCTGCAGTAAACAAAAGAGAGAACGACAAAAAGGTTTTTGCCTTCCCTGAATCTCTTTTAACTCTTTACTTCAAGAAGAATACATTGACATGTTTAAACAGTTCTTCACTTTCCTTAACATTAGATGATGGCTTTTAAAAATATGCAAAATGTATCTCTCACTAGATAAGGTAATAACATTATAATAAATTCAAGTCCACTTTCTAACAAGGGAGAGGAGATGATAAACATATATATGGAAATCTATTTTATTTAATGTAACTGTAAGTATTTTAGTGACATTTATTGACAATGTTTCTTCTCAGCCTAAAAAACAAAATTCTACATACTGTGTTTGAGTTTATATCTTTGAGATAAACCCCTGGTAGATAGAATTCCACATACTGTGATAAGTATAGGTCTTTATAATGCATATTAAAATACATGCAAGAGAAAAGCTGATCAGTGACAAACTTGTCCATTGTTTAGAAGTGATGAACTTTACTTTGCATCCTTAGCATCTGTACCAAGTTAAATGTTCCTACCCCTCTAAGGATTTGTTCTTTATAGCAAATGTTATCTCTGTCATGATGTCAGCAAAGAGATATTTTACCATTTTTTTTCTAATTTATTTTTTCCCATAAAAAGGTGCCTATGAAACTGCAATAAATACATAACAGAAAAGAACGCCAGGGAGAACATTATATATGTCAGCCATCTGAGCAGGCTGTATTCCCACAGAAAGAAGAATTTGTATTGATCACTGAGACTCCTTTTCAACAGTTTCATGTGATTATTGATTACTGGTTTCCTGACTCCTACAAAATGATTAGCAATTACAGGAAAATTATTTGAAATCTGTTTAAACAATCTGGTGAATTGCATATACTACAGTCATTAGCAATCCAAAGAGTTTATTTTTAACAATTTAAACATATGAGTTTGGCAGCATTCCACAAACCTGCACTGCACATAAAATGCAATTCATTGAAGTCAAAGAAATTTACAATAAAATGTTATATGCTATCTAGAATTTATTTTTAGTACCTTGTTAAACAAAACAAGAAAGCACTCTTGTTTCCAAATTAGCAAGAGACAAATGACCCAAGGAATGATAGCAGTAAAACAGTTTTGTGTAATGTCTATTTATAGCTAAAGTATATTGTAGAATTGGGATCACAATTGTTTTAGGAATACAATTTTCAATTTACTTCTAAAGATTATTGTTCTGTTTAGGAATTGATAATGTAACATGTATGAAGCACTTTGTTTCAAAGCTGTTGTACCTCAGACATAGAGACAAAGTCACAGAGACAAGTATTTGGAGAATTTATTCATGCACATGTGTCACCATCAGCATTTTTATGTGCCAGTAATGCATCTGTGTATGATGCTATCGTGAAGTATATGATAATGGCCTTTCTGATGCTAAGATAAATTAAGAAATAGGTTAGCATTGTCTTTGATGCCCATGTAACCTGTCTTCCACCTTTGTGACCAAGACTTTACCTCCTCCTGCACAAGGGCTTGCCCAAAGTCACTGAAGGGCTCTACCTCAGCTTAACTTTTGGATCTGGCTCCTGCCCCAGGTTTTAGAATCCACTTTTTGTCATCAGTGTAATGAGGCTCCAATCTAACCTCTATGACGGTGCTATACACACAGCTTTTACCTGCCTCTTTTTTGAAAAATTTAACATTTTCTAAGTTATCAGAATTTTATTCAAAAATGTTAATTTTAATGAATCACTACATTTTTCTATGAAATACTTCAGTATTTTTCAAGTCTTAAAAATGTAATTGTTTTTATACTGTTACTCCCTACTGGTTTACTTTTGTTGAAAGCCGTTACACAAGCATGTTTATATCTCTGATTATGTCCTCAAAATAGATTCCTAGTAACACAGCCATGTGTCATGATGCAGGGATATTTTAAAGTACATGCTGTATGTCATAAGGGAGCTTGTTGCATTGAACCCTCATCAACATGGGACGTCCTTAAGGTCCTTTTTCTTCCTTTCTTTTTTTATTTTGGCTGACTTCCTAGTTGAAAGAAAATGGTATCTCAAATAATGAGTTGTGTTACTAGGAACAGTGGCTTTTATATTTTGTATGCTTTGCTATTTGTTTCTTTTTGTGAGTTTATATACTTTTTCAATACTTATGGGGGTTTTGTTGCTGTTCCCCCATTTGGTTTATAATAACTCCTAATATTTGAATAACAGTACATTCTCATATTTATGGAAGATATTTATCAGTTTTTATTCTTTGTTAAATTTGGAGGTAATGTTATTTGTTTTAAAGATTTTTCATTCTTACAAACATTAAACTATCAAATTTTCCCTGATAATTTATTTTACTACTTTAATGCTCCTAATATCTTTTTCCTCTCATATTCACTTATTTTTTTCAAGCTTTTAAAAAATGATTTCATGTTTAAGGCAATTGCTTAGTCATTACTTCATGGACCGTGGAATCATTTTATCTAAATTTAAAATCCCAGTCTCAACATTCATTCAACGAATACTTATGGAGTCTATGTTTAAACAGTTTATGAAGTGCAAAGCATTGTACTAGGTGCTTCCCATACATCTGTAAGCAAAACAGATAAGACACTGCCGTTGCTGAACTGATATTTTGAAGAAGACAGACAAAAATAATAAATATATTAAATAAGTTAATTACATACTATATTAAAGGGCAATTAAAAGAACAGGGTATGGGGGCCGGGCGTGGTGACTCACGCCTGTAAGCCCAGAACTTTGGGAGGCCGAGGCGGGTGGATCACGAGGTCAGGAGGTCGAGACCATCCTGGCCAACATGGAGAAACCCCGTCTCTCTACAAAAAATAAAAAAAAAAAATTAGCCGGGCAGGGCAGTGCGCGCCTGTAGTCCCAGCTACTTGGGAGGCGGAGGCAGGAGAATGACGTAAACCCGGGAGGTGGAGCTTGCAGTGAGCCGAGATCGCGCCATTGCACTCCAACCTGGGCAACAGAGCGAGACTCTGGAAGAAAAAAAAAACAGGGTATGAGTACTAAAAATGCTGACGGTGACAGATATTGGTGGTGGGTTGCAATTTTAAGCAGTTGTCAGGAGAGTCTTCCTTAATCTGGAGACATTTAAGTAACAATCTGGAGGTTAGAGAACTGGCTGTAGGGATTCCCTGGTGAGCAGTGTTCCAGGTTAAGGAGTGAACTGAGCTGATTTATGTTGTAAAGTATTTTTCTTGCCACTAGAGTGAGGGTAGACTGAGGGAAGCAAAGGAGGAAGCACGGAGAAAAGTTAAGAGGCTACTGAAACAAACCAGGAAATATGGTGTTTACCAATTTGTACAAAGTAGAGGTGGATTGAAGATCTTGTCTGAAGATAGATTCAACTGAATTTTCCAAAATGTATGCAGGCTGTAAGGAGTTAAGCATAGCTGTGAGATTTTTGGCTTGAGCATATAGGTGACTCTGAGTAAAGGATATTGTAAGATGGAGAAGATCGGAGTTGGGACATGTTTTTAGGGAGAAGATTAGGAATTCATTGGTGGATATGTTAAGTATGAGATGGCTGTAAGAACACTTGTAAGCTGTGTGACCTTGGATAATGTCACTGAACTTCCACATAACTTGGTTTTCTCATCTGTAAAGGAGTGAAATAATTGTTCCTATCTCATAGGCTTGTTATGAGGACCAAAGCATTTTTGTAGGTAAAACACAACAGTGATCAAAACAAAATATTCAGTGTGTAAGTTTTGCCTCATTATTATTGTTAGATATAATTCCAACTTATTTGGAACTAATTTAAGTATGCATTATTTAGTAACGATCTAACTCTCTTTTACAAAATAGGAAACCAGTACTGTTTAT